CCACACAACCTCACCCCGGTCTGGAGGAGGACACTGCTCCAACAGAACCCATCTGATTCTGAGCTGTGCGGATTTTGCAAAAAAAAGCTTGGTGTGCAGTTGGCAGTCATTGATTAGGTCAGGGGATATCTGCAGGTAACGGGACCTCCTGGCAAGGTGATTTTGTAGGAGACAAGAGCAGAAGAGAGGCAAGAGCTTGAGGGAAAATTGAGTCTTCATATAAGCATGCAAGAATCCCATTTAAGACCAAGAATCACAGCAGTTGTTAGGCATCCAAAACACGTCTATTCACAATCAGCTTTGTGCAGAGAAAGAGAGAGAAGCAAACAATGAAGTTTTGAATGGGAGAATCCAGAGGATACGTCAAATTTTGAACCCAGTGTTGAGGTGAAATAAGTTTGATGCCACTGTTACATTATGAGAGTTTGGTCTAAGATTCTCAGTATTTAAAGAAGATGCTTATTTTCACAGAAATGGAAAAAAAAAATTATTTTTCATGCAGATTAAATTTCTCTACCCAGTTATAAATCAAAAATTAACAACTTTATCTAGGTCAGGGCATTGAAGCTACATTAAAGTTTCATCCTCATTCACTAAATTTTAATTTTAATGTGGCACATCTGACAAGTCTTGTAGGACTACTTAGAATCCATTGACATCCTTCTGTCACTGGTATCAAAGCCTCATCTTTGAAACTCTTGTTTCCAGATACCTAGCTGTCACTGGATTATTTTGTCTCTGCAATGGTGTCACAATCAATGCCTGTGCAGGCATTCACATACATGTCCCACATATGTCAGCTAAAGCTCACACAGAAATAAACAGCTTTACCTCTAGAAACACAGATTTTTATGTAAACACTTAAAGGGGAAGCTATAAAGAATCTATAAATATTTTTTCTTTATTTTTTTATGTCTTCCAGCCTTTTTAGTTACTGTAACTGGTTGCCTGTAAATTAAAACTCTACAACTCTACAGTTTAATTTGCAAACAATATTTAATTACAAGAATGGCTATGAGAAAAACAAAATAAATTTCTATATCCCTGCCATCATTTTTATGACTATGGCAGAAACGTTGACGCACTATTTGAGAAAAGTGTCTGTGGACCTGGAAGACATCTAATTCTGGAGTAGAAACAGTACAACATGATTTATCTAGTCAGTCAGTCTAGAATTATGGCAGAAATTTAATGTTTCAGCTATTGTGGCCTTTAGCAATTACCAGGCTTAAATACAGGCCTCTTACAGAATAATAGTTATGACACTTTCATGGAATGTCAAAGTACATTCACAGATCCTTCCCTGGCCAAAAATTTAGTGCCAATATTTCAAAAATACAAATGGTGAAATGTATATCTATAAAGTAAGTGTAAATGGATTCATATCAACTTCTTGGAAATTAATTTGACTGGGGAAAGAATCCCCAAACTTTTCTTCTGTTTGTATTCCCAAGCATCTGCCAAGGTTTGTCCTCAGACCTGCTGGTGGCATGGCTGTGACTCAATGGAGGAAATACCCTGCAAGTCAGGAGAGGTGGCTAATCCTGGGCTTGTGTGCAAGAGAGAGGGGAAAGATGTAGGACAGAAAGAGACATTCCTAACACATGGAAAATGACAACACATGGCAGAATTACAAAGAGATTTTCATTTGCAGTTGTGTCCCATAGCACATTCCTACTGTCTTGCTTACAGGTCCCCCCTTACACACTCAGAGGAAACACCACTGCCCTTGTGTTTCACAGGATGGAAGGTGGAGCACTAGGTCAAAACTCACCAAAGCATTACATCACCCTGCATTTCTCATCACAGTCCTGAAACTTTTTCCTTCTGGAGAGCTTTTCAGTCTACTTCTTCCTTCTGTGATTCTGCACATAGACCAACTTTCAGGCACCAGAGGCCTCTAACAAACATGGGGCTGGGATCAAGGAAAGGAAGGACTAAACATATTCAGTAATATATGTTGTATCTAATTAACATAAGTTGGCAGTGCTCTCACTGTATCTTTGACTTTCAACACAGCATGCACTCCATTCTGTCCCAACCTGTCCACATCACTAGGCACCAACCTTTTAACCTGAATTTACAATGTTAAATGTCTTGCCTGTCTCACAGTCACTTGAAGCTTCCCGCACTGTTTCCTCACTTTTCTCCTTCAGAATCACTGCCTCACATGAGAAAATAATGTTTCACTTGCTTTCTTGTGTAAGAATAAATATGTGAAGATAAAACTACAAGAGTGCAAATAAATGTTTCTGCCTATTAGAAATACTGGCCTAGTTCTAGTTCTAGCTAGTCTGGCCTGGTCTTCAGGTGGGAAGACTAAATAATGTACCTCACAGCTATAAGGCACTGGTAATTTTCCTTAAGGGAAAAATATTTTATTTATATGTTCTTGGTATTGATAATTGACCTTCTGGTTCAAAGCTGAAGTTCTACTCATGAACCCAGCTACAACTAAGTCCCAAGTATTTGTTCTTCTTGACATGTTAGGATTACATTTATTGAACTTCAGCTTTGCTTTTAATTGAATGCTGATGCATAATCTTACCATTTATTAGCCTTACTTCTCTTTCCTGCTGCAGATCCTTAAGTGTTCCAAGCACCATTCCTCCTTAAAAATAAAGCTCATGCTTGTTTGCTTTTTCTTTTCCTTAGCCAGATTTCAAATTGCATTTTCCCAAACACCACAGCTATTTATCCAGGGGAAGGACTAAAGGACAGATTCCTTCTGACATTCTCAGCATGCTGCTGTGAAGACTTCTAGCTTCAAGGGCCATAATAATGGAAGATGAAAGCTTTTTAACAGTTCACCTTCTTGAATTTTCTATTCTGAACACAAAGTTCAAAATAGATTCAAAATTCATATTCCGCTCCTCAGGAACTGACATAAATTAAAACAAAGTAAATGCATCAGGACCACTGAACACACATTTTTGAATTTACATACAGCAGAGAAAAGCATTACTTTTTTTTCCAAAGGAGAAAAAAAAAAAAGTAAATAAAAAGGCCTTTTTATGGAGCCCAATTTCAAGGATATTTGAGTATCCATTCTCCATTATTTGTGTCTGGATTAATATCTTCCGGCACACAAATCATCCTGTTCTGCAACTTGGATTCATTAAATTACTTTATACATAATTCAAGATGGAAGTAAATTCTTTTCTTCTTGCTTGCACCCTCCCTCTTTACACCTGCAGTCAGTCATACGACTACATTTTGACAGAGTGGCTCAGTGACTGTTACTCCTTCTGACAGTAGCAAAGCAAGAAGCATTTTTTAAGCACGGTCATTTATGTGGCTACAGGCAGGGGTGAATTCCATTTTCCATCAGTAAAACATATGTGGGCCACAAGGAGTACACTGAGCATTGGTAGCACAGAGTCCCTGAAGCCATGAAACCATCCAAAGCACTCAGAACAGCTCAGGCACTTTGTACCACTGACCTGCATTCACCACCAATCCCTGCCCATACAAATACACTGTTTATACTCCCCTAAGAACCTGTATCGGTTGATGCTCGTCACTGCATAACATTCTCAAACACCAAGGATATTTCCTAATTCCAAACAGGTAAGGACTTCAGATGTTACAGCAAGGAAGCACTTTGATTAATGTTGACCAATATACGCAAAAAAAATGGAGAGCTACCACTTTCTTTTAGACATCAGATACGGCACTTTGCACCAAGGAAAATCCCCCACTGAGTTTGTAATTGCCTAGGAGAGGAGAAGTAAAAAAGAAACTCAAATAGTTTAAAACTTTGCTGATCTGTCATCACATTAACAATTTTCCAACTTTAACACAGCCCTGAATAGAACATAGGCCTAAAAGCAAAAATAAAATGCAAAAACTCCCCAAACGCCTTCATCTTCACATTAAGATGGAATTTTGCAATGAATGAATAACCTCTTTCACTTTTAATTTAGACCTACCCATCAACATGGCTGTTATTATTCACAGCAGCAAAGTCCTTGCCACACTACAGCAGAAATAATAGCTGCATCTCTAGGTTCTGTTTTCCCCAAGAATCCACAATGTTATTTAAATAAGTCTAGTATGCCATAGGTACAGCGGGCAAGGCCATTTCTAATGAAAGGCTATTTTTTTTTCTGTCCCAGCTTTATATAACATGACTGGAATTTGCTTGTGAAAGAAAGGATCATTAATAGAATGCCATGTCTCCCCTGCATGCAAGGGGAGAGACATGACATCCTTGGACATTTTCAATAGTCATGTTGACATCTATATTCTACCAAGAAGCACTATGTCATCTACTAAACAGCACAGGCAAGACAGTATCCTTGATGCTTCCATAATACATGATGCAGTGTTTTCCTGAGAGAAGCTAAGCAAGAAATAAATCTTCTCCAAGTAAGTCACGAGCTGTGGAAAAGCCATCATCTTCTTCATGTATGCCTCTCCAAGACCAAACAGGATGGTATGCCACTGCCTGTCTCATGACTGGGACTCTGATCCCACTGCCACAGAGGACCATTGGGTCCTCTCTCCTGCATGGCAGGGAAGTGAACTGTAGCACTGGGTAAAGCTTTCCCCGATCTAATTCCACAGTTCAGTCTTTCAAAGCGATGTCAGTGAGATGCCCAGACCACGTGCTGTTAGGATAAGCACAGGGTGTTCCTGTCCCCAGGGCCTACCCAACTGCTCCTGCCACACTATCCACAGGGATATTTTAATTCAGGATCCAGAGGAGGTTCCTCTGCAGAGCCATCTGAAACAAAGTTGTATGTGTGCTTTCCAGGCTACTTTTTTAAAAAATAATGCAGATATCTGCAGTCTTATTATTCACACATAGTATAGAAAAATTAATTATGAGTGATACAAGTGGCTAAGTTACTGTACTTAGAATCCTCACCCGATTGTTGACAGCCTCCAAGTGTACTCAGATTTATTTAGGTGAAGCTCTGTAGCATATTCAGTATTTCTACCAAAAAGATAATTTGTGATGTATCAACAAATGCAACTCTCAACATATAGCCTACCTTTCAAGAGAGTTGACAGCCAGTTGTGATGGAAGATGTAGGCAGAGGCATCTTATTGTAATTCAGATCTGCTTAAAACCAAACAGAAAATTAAGGAATGAACTGAAAAAGGATCTTGATGTGAAAATCTCTGTTTAACCACCTCAAAAATAACTGTTCCTCTGGTTTCAGACATATTTTTTATGTGAGACTAATTCTTTCAGGCTTATATTTTCCCAGTATTTGGAGTTCATCTTAAAGCCACCATTTGGAGTTTTTGTATTCAGGGTAAGTGATCACAGGGTAATCAGAGAGGAAGATGAGAAATGTCACATAACTCTGGGAAAGGATCTCTATAGGAGAGGCACTTTTGGAACTAACCAAGACTAGCAAGGAGAGGCTAAAATAAAAATAGGATGGACAGGCTTTTATTGGTACAGATGTTTTACCTTTTCACTGTCTGTTTGTGAAGAGATACAAAACCAGGTTTGGAAGAAAAGGCTATCTTGAAGTGTGTAATGAGCACTGCCAGGAAACAAGAAGTTTCTTCCAGGGAACACATTCTGAATACTTAACAACCTCAAATAATGTTCAAAATAATAGACACACCCCTAAATTCTACTGAAGTTAATATAATTTTTCAGTTTGAATTTTGAATGTTGTGAACTTTTATGATTGCTGAACTCAGAGTTTCATAGTGACCCAGATAGGTATTCCATGTAGAAAATATTTCAGCCTGAAGTGCTGTAAAGATGGGGTCTTCTTTGAGCAATATTCTGTTTTAAAATAAAAATCCATGCTCAAAAGTCCATAATATTACAAGGAATCCAAGTCTAAAAATCTTATTAAAATCAAGTATGTGTTTAAAATTGTGCAACTTATATCAGAGTTAGGGATTAAAAAATAAACTACTTGTTCAACAAAAAGTAGGTTTATGTCACAGCTGGAACACAATAGACAACTTGTAGTTTATTCAGAGCAATCACAAGTGTTTTTTCCCAGGAATAATTTGTTTCTATCAGTATAACTATGTTATGCATCACTTACATGTGTGTGTAACAGTAATTCCCAAACTGTGATCATTTTACTCATTTCTACTACAGTGCACAGGTAAGTGATTAGCTCCTCATTTCTCTGATTACAGTAGGTAGCAAGAAAAGAGGTGTGAACAGTATGTTGCTAATGAAAAAAATGTGGGTGCTAAGAATGAATTGCAATAATTGTAATATTTGATATTAAGAAGATGAGAGAAAGAAATTACTGACACACTTTCTCAGCTGCTCACTCAGTCACCATACTGATAGGTAAGCTGCTTGAGACTTATGTATGAGAGACTTAATACAGCTAATAATAAATTATAATAAAGTCTGAACAAGGATATATGAAAATGACTGTGTCCACATGACATTTCATACTGCAGGAGGAAAGGCTGAGTCAGCAGGAGGCTGGAGAGCTGTAGTTATGGAATGAAAATGAGCTTTTCAACTCAAGGAACATCAGAGAGCTGGAGTTCTAACTCCCAGAGAAAGCCAGCAGGCAGAGCACGTAACCCACATGGCCCTATACAAAGTGATAAAGTAAGAAAAATGCAAGCCCTCCACTGGTGCCACGCCTGGACTGGAATGGTGTGCAGAAAACATATTTATTGCAGCTTTGTGCCACATAATCTCCAGGCCTTCAAGCCTCTTCTGCAGGGCAGGATAGTTAGCTTTCCTATTAAACATGGCAGGATACAGCTGGCAGCTGAAGCAGAAGAGATTTGGTTTAATGAAACTTCCCTGGGTCTTACACTTCAGTGGTGTATTAAGACCTAAAAGCATTTTAACCAAAACCTTGGACTTTTCTGTAGAATTCAAAATACAGACCTTGTGTTCCAGTTCAGCAAATGAATGATGCAGCAGTCTATCACTGTTGAGAAACACTTTTTTCCAGGTGTTTGAATACAACCCTTGGGCTGACTAATCCTCTACCTCAGTCTGAAAATCTCAGCTCCACTGGGGTTTTAGCTGGGGACAGGACTGTGCTTTTGAAGAGACTCTCCTGAGCAGTCCCCATTACGTCATTTTGTTTTTTGCTGCAGGGCACTCTCAGAGCACAGAGACTGTGTTCATTGGGATGAAACTAAACTGGGGTGCCCTGAGTGTGCTCCACTGCTCGTGGGCACTCACTCAGCAGGGTGGAAGTGCATCTTGAAGAGGCTGTTAGTGTGGATGTTGAGTCTTGTGAATTCTCTGCTCACCTCTGCAGGATCATCCCCCCTGCGAATACAGACTCGCAGCTGTATAAATACATATACATACATACACCACTACTGCCAGCATGTACACCCCAACCAGGAAGTTAGGAAAACAAAATTCTGAGATAGGAATTATCCCTTTAACTGAAGGGAACATTTGAACAAATGGGTATTTGCAAAGCTACCAATATAAACCCCTTTGTACAGCTTTACAGGGACAGGGAATATAAGAGTAATCAAGGGTGTTTAGACAGACCAGACAAGTCTCATCATTACTGCAAGCACTACTCCTTGCATACAAGGCATGTAATTCTTGTCATGTTGTCTGTAGCATCATAACAGAGCTTATAGTTTCAGGAGGGATGTGGGCTGAAGATGAATTAATTTCATATGCATTCAGATATTTTCACATTTTTATTTTCTCCCATATGGAAGAGACAAAAAGGCAACTTTGAAGGAAAAACCTTTCCATTTTAAACATTCTTCTCTAAAATTTAGTATTTTCTCTGGAACAGCATATTAGTCTTCCTTAAAAGAAGATTTAAATAGTGAATAATAAATAAAAAAAAATATTTATTTCTTTAATAATGAAATGTTGGAGCATTGTGTAAATTTCTTTCCTTTGTTGCTGTTGTTGTCACTTGATTTTCCATTTCAATGAAAAACTGTTTGATACTTGGAACCAACAAAAAGGCATGCATCTGTTGAATAATGCTAATTCATATTCAAGCTGTGCTACCTAATTACAATGCATTTTTCATGGCACCATCACAGATTACCATGGATGATTCTTGGTCAGTCACGACTTACTTAATTAACAGGAACTTAACTATTATATTTTTTGACTTTTCATGTATTGAATAGGGTATGCCTTCCAGCTGTCATGATCAAACATACTCCCCCCCACCAAAGTATGGGATTAAAGCCATTACATTGATCAAATCACAAGCAGGCATCTTTTTGCTTTGCTCCACAAATGTAGAAATGAAAGCAACATTCACAAACCGAAAGCACTACAGTGAATAAAAAACTGACTCAGTCCTGGAAAAACAAAACACAATGTATCTGAAGAATTTCACCCTAAAAAGCTTCCCTCTTGAATAATTTTTAAAGTATTTTTAGATATTAGTGTAGGTGTTGGGGAAAAGCCCACATTGCTTCAAAGACTGCCTTTTGTTTAAAACACCATTTCAAGAGATGATGTTATGCAATTAGAAAGAAGAAAGGAAAAGAGTCTAAAACCCAGTTATAGTAATAGAATTTCACACAGTCTGTAGAAGGTTCTGTCTTAGAAAGCTTTAGAAATATTCAGGTATATAGTTAAGTAGATCGTTGAGATATATGTTCATATTAGACAAAAATATCAATTTAAATCTTTCTTTCCAAACAGGTTTAGACCAAATTATTCTCTTTACAAGTCTCAATCCATATGCCTATATGAGTGTCTTAAATACCAAGTCCTAAAATACAGGAATCTTAAATGGGTGGTTTTGCTACCTGCCTTAGATTAGCTATAGTCCTTTGTGTCAAACAGTGGCCACAGAATCAAAGAAAAATTCCATTTGTGTCTAGGAAAGAGGGTGAGCTGGGACTGGAAGGATACGCTCTACCGAAGAGGAATAATACAGCAAGGAAAACCCAACATTTTTTCCATGAACCTTAAAGACAGAGACAATTTCTGAGGGAGAAAAGACAATTTATTTTCAGCACTGCTTGCTCTTAGTCCTCTGCTTAGGTCTGCCAAAAAACTTCAACTTCCTCTCCCTCCAAGCTGTCTTAAAGGTAAAGCTACTCCATGACAACATACCAGGTTGCATCTTTCCAAAGGACTTTCCAAAACAGTATCTTTTTTCTGAGGACAGCCACTAGCAGATACTGGATGGGAGTGGAAGGAGAGAGAAGGCGCACAGTCATCCTTTGTTCTCGTGTGCCCTCCTACTTGTGGGATCTTGGAGACCACTCAATGAGGAGGTTACAGCCACAACATGGGATTTAATATGCTGTCAGCCATCTTCTTCCCATTAATCCCCTGGACTGCTTTTAACCATTATATTTTGTACACTGACAAACTCAGGATTCAGTTTCTGGATGAATTCTTGGTGTGGTTTAAACAGCTGTCACGAGGTGTCCCTTATCTCCAGACATGTGAGAAGCAGTTAAGGGAGAAAGGGGAAGAGGGAGGACAGGGTTGAAGGAGATCAAATCTCTGTCTCAACAGGCTTCGATTCATGGAGGCTTTGTGATCATATTGGAAATTTGTCCACTCTTCTCTGAGTGTACTTACCTGGATACCATCACCTATGTTATTTAGAGTGTATGTAAAACAAGACTGTGTATTGTTGTCCTGGCTTCCAGCTGGAGCCTCTATTGCAATATATTAAAACATGACCTTTATCTCTCAGGAAGGCATGACTTTGCAAAATTTTTGATTTTTGTAGCATAGGTCTGTTAAGAAAAGAAAATTCCACAACTAAACCAGAGATTATTGGGAAAAGACAGTCCACTGGGAGCTTGGGGCTGCTCACTAAACATGGCAAAGAGGCTACAAGTCAGATTTATTCCAGTGGAGCCTGCATAACCTGGTGTCACCAGCCAAATGGAAGATTTAATGTTTTCTCATATATCCAGTAGAGAAATCTTCACACTATACCCCAGATATCCTAAGAAAGAGGTCTTTTAGGTTAGCACAATCTTAGCAATGAGAAAAATAAGACTTTTGAATTTTACTCTTTTATTTTCTTAAAATCTGGCTGAAGAAAGTCAATGCCTGCTTTTTAGTTCCATTCCTCTGCAGCTCAGTAGAGGTAACAGAAATGACAGGGTGGCAGGCAGGCAGGTAGGCTGGCCACATTA